GGTTTCACCATGTTGACCAGGATGGTCTCGATCTCTTGACCTCGTGATCCACCCGCCTCGGCCTCCCACAGTGCTGGGATTACAGGCTTGAGCCACCGCGCCCGGCGGGACAGTTCCTTTCTACTGCTCACACTTAGGGGACATGGAGGGAGGGAGGGACAGTTCATTTCTACTGCTCACACTTAGGGAACATGGAGGAGTGAGGAGCAGTTCCTTTCTAGTGCTATTACTTGGGGACATGGAAGAGTGAGGGACAGTTCCTTTCTACTGCTCACACTTAGGGGACATGGAGAGAGTGAGTGACAGTTCCTTTCTATTACTAACACTTAGGGGACATGGAGGGAGTGAGGGACAGTTCCTTTCTACTGCTTTCACTTAGGGGACGTGGAGGGAGTAAGAGGCAGTTCCTTTCTACTGCTCACACTTAGGGGACATGGAGGAATGAGGGACGTTCCTTTCTACTGCTCTCACTTAGGGGACTGAGGTTTTACAAGTTATGTGTATTGCTCAAAATCATTTACTTATCCAGAGGTAGAGTAGGATTGAAACCTAGGACCACTTTGTTTCAAAGCCCCTGTAAGTGACAGGGAAGTTTAGGGTGTGTTAAGAATCTAAGGGTTTTAGGAAGCTAATTTAGACAGGAGGCTCAGGGAAAGCTTTGCTGAGGAAGCAGAAGCAATCCTTAAGTGTTAGCTAGCTTTGCAGAAAAAGCAGGAGACACATAGGAAAGGAAGCGGCCCAAGGTAGGCAGGAGCTGATTGGATCAAGAAACTGAAGCGTAGTGAGGGCAAGTGTGCTGGAAGGCTAAATAGGGTGATGTTGCTAAAGCAGGGGCAAGTGATCTGGGTCACACCAGCGTGCCCCAGTGCAACAGTCACAGAGCTTCCTCTGTTTTCTGTCAGAGAGCCTGGTGGCAGAAGCGTATTACTGTGACTGAGTCTCAGGCCTCAGTTGTTCTGTATTCCTTGGTCTGACACTCAGAGAAAGTCTGTCCTCTCAAAAAAATTCTAGCTTAAGAGGTGGAGCCAGAGTTCAAAATCAGAGGCCCTCTTAGGCTGTCATAGGTGACTGCCATGTTCAAAACATGGTTCCTGGAAACTGACTTCTTTACATCAATCACACCTATATGAACAGAATCTCTTCTTAGCTCTAAGCCAAGAATCAGTAAACTGTGGCCCATGGGCCAAATCTGGCCTGCCACCTGTGCCTGTACTGCCTGCCTATGAAGAATGGTTTTTACAGTTTTCCATGTTTGGGGAAAAAAGATGACAAAGAGTAGTACACTGTATATGGCCCAGGGCACCTAAAATATTTATTGTGTGTCCCATTACAGGACAAGTTTACCTACCCTTATAAATCACTAAACCTGGAGCCATAGGGATTGGCCCCTGGGAGCATTGTGTTGGGTAAAGCCTCCCTTTTCACTAATGGTGAATCTTTGATCTTACAGGACAAATCCTTCAGAAAGATCAGGAAATCAAGGACCTAAAACAGAAGATAGCCGAAGTCATGGCCGTCATGCCCAGCATAACATACAGTGCTGCCACCAGTCCCCTGAGCCCTGTTTCCCCCCACTACTCTTCCAAATTTGTGGAGACCAGCCCCTCTGGACTTGACCCCAATGCCTCTGTTTACCAGCCCCTGAAGAAATGAAGGCCAGCTGTGTGTTGTGCCCAACCATTTGGTTACCGAAGTCATTGCAAAGGAGCATCTCTGGCAGTCAAGATAAAAAAACAGTTTCTATTGTATTTTGTGGGACTGTATCTGTTGTCATTTTTAAAAAGGGGGGAAAAGATAACATCCAATTCTGATTACAACTGCCCATCAGTTTTTCTTGTAAATTTTTAGAAGACCTCACAGAACTTTACAGTTTATTTTTCTCGGCCAACACATTAAAACCATTCTTGGATTTCAAGTAGCCAACTTTGCCTTTTATGTATTCTTACATAGTTTCCTCTTGAAGAAAAAAAAGCAGAGTTTTTGCTTTTCAACCCTTTACATTTGTTTTGTTTATTCTTAAATAAGCAAGAAAAACCTACACATTGGATTCATATGAAATGATAATGAAAACTTTTAGTTTAAAAGTGAAGCGTTAAGTAACCTAACAGAGCTTTGATGTTATAGCCGCATTAAAGAAGGTGATTGTCAGTATTAACAGAAAACAAAAATGGATTGCCCCTCCAAGGACCAAACAGATTCAAGGAGCATCATTTAAGCTGAGAAGAGACCTAAGTGATGAGACTAGCTGTAAGAATGTAACAGGGGTTGTGTTTGAAATATTTATATTCCCATCAGTATGTTTAGTCCTAGAAAATTGCTAGCAGCAGTCTTCTTCACAGTGCCTTGGGAAAAGACATTTCAAGAGGAAACTTGATAATTTTAAACTCTTTTCCCCCTTTACCGTCACCTATCCTCTATCTCTATCAAGCTCACTGCGGATCCTGCTGTAAAACTGGTGGGTAGCTGGGCTGTCCGTTACCACCACAGCTACATCTTGTGTTTCTTTTAATAGAAAGCACCCCGGTGTTCTGCACTTGCCTCCAGTAAAGCACCTTGGGAAGGGAGCTGGGCGGTGTTTGTGGATGAAAGACTGTGACGATGGCTAATAAAAGCTACGATTCTAGGGTTTTTTTTTTCCATTTCATTTAACTGTGCTTTCTCCACTTTTCATCATCTTGTGTTTGATAATTTAAAAGAAGCTTGACTGTTCCTCAGCTCTTGTGCCAAGGAGGTTTTTTTTTTTTAAGACTCAAAACTCTGCACAAAGATTTCAGTTCCAAATGTGTATTATACATGGGTAGAAAAGTGTTTGCACAGGCAACTTTTGGAAGTGTTTAAGAATCAGGGTGGGGGTGGGGGGAGGGAATGGGAGGGTGGGGCAATGCAAAATTGTATTTGGAAACTAGGAAAAATTAAGAAACCAAATAAATTGGTTTGCTTCCTTGCCATGAATTCTGGAAGGACGTAGTTCTTCTAAAATTTCCTATTAATTGGCATGTACGTCTCATTTAAAGCAAATTAAGTAGGACAAGCAAGTCAGTAAAATAGAAGTATTATAAAAGAATCATCCTTTAAGTCACAGATCTTATTTTGGGATAAAAAATACTTCTAGCTTTAGCCAGGTGTGCATGTTGCTGCCATTTTGCATTTTTGAATCATCTTGTGTAATTGTCACCATGAAAGTGTTACTCAGAATTGTCATAGATTTTTTCATCTTTGTGCAAAAACATGGAAAACTGTCACTGACTTTGTGTTGAGGTTTCCCCCATTTTGCTGCCTTTTGGGACACTTCGTTAAATACTGGTCTTGGCTGCATTCTTTTTTTTTTTTTTTTTTTCCTGTGGGGTTCAAAAGAATAAACATTTTCTTACAGATAAAACTAGTTTCTGCCTTTTTAACTTTCAGGAGGGCACAGCAAGGTAGATTGTTCTGAGTGGCGCTTAGCTGGTTGCTATCTTGTTCTCTCCTCATCTCAGCCCCTGTCAGGTGAGGGTCCTCCCACACAGCCTATCCCTGGGTAGGTGGCAGACACAGGATTTGGGGGGCTTATCAAGATCTCAAGTTGGTTTGGTTTCTGTGCTTAAGACATACCCATTCTCATTTGTTCTTTCCCTTCTCTGGCATCTGATTAGAGCCAAGGCTGACTTGTTTTCTGGTACAACCCTCCTTTCCTAAGAAAGCAAATTAGGGGTGGAGTTGGGGGGTAGTTGGTGAGAAAACCTTGAGAGCAAATTTCCTTCAACAATGTCTTGCCCTCTTCTATTTTCTAGAATCTTGTTTGGCCGGTTAGTGACCAATAGGGTTTCCTAACTGCTATAGATCCTGAACTAACATCCATTTTTACCATCCTCCCTTGTTTTTAGAGGCTTTGTCTGTTTTCATCTTTTGAGAAGCCAACTGCCTCTCTTGGCCATTGTTACAATTGACCTTCACTTCAGTTTTGGAAAATTCTGCTCTTGGCACCTCACCCTCTGTCCTTACTGCTAGATAGCCTTTCTGAGTCTTGGCCATCAAGTCTATTGCAGACACACCACATTTAATATCATGAGCAGAATTGCCCAGGGGAACATCTTGGCTTGCCTTGGCTTTTGCCCTCGCCTTCCCTGAAGGAATGTGTCTGCCTCCAGAACTCTCATCGGCACATTCTTTTCCATCAAGGAGATCTCCAGTTGTTGTCTCTGTTATTTTAGGCCCATCATAAAGGAGCTCCACATCTTAGTACATAGTTTATTACATGCTATAAACCAGTGTTTGCCATTCTAGATGGTTAAATAATTAGAGGAAGAGTGGTTTGAGTGTATTTTGACTGGCCGAATAACCTCTCTTTATTGACATCTCCCAACTTTACATAAGGAAATAGCTGTCTATGCTCATTCTCTCTGTGGCAATCATTCCAAGAGACCCTATGGAGTGAAAATGAACAATCCCTCATGACTCCCAGCCTGCAGGAAGGGCATAATCCTTTTTTCTGCCGCCCCTCTCCCCCTGCTTACCCACCTGTGTTAATCCAGGCTATGAAGAGCCACCGGGGAAGGCTGAACGTTTCTAACAGCCGGTCCTCATTGCTGCTTTTGAAATTCACACCACAGCAGAGGGAACTAAAGAGGTAAACTAGAAGTCTACCCCAAAGCCACTGGCCAGAGTAGCTAGGCCTGTTTAGATTAAAGGGCCTCTGAGCCTCATAAATGCCTGGTTATATGTGACTCTCAAAGATGCTTATTGCTGAGCTGGCCTCTTCCGAGGCCTTGTAGGACTTGCCCAAAGGCATCCCCCTCTCTTCTGGCCCTGGTCTCCTGTCCTTCATGAAGAGCCCTGTGCCCAGCCAAGCCCTCCAGAGAGGGATGGGAGTCCACTCCCTGCTTTGCCACCGTGGGATCTGTGACCTTAACCTCTCTAGGGTGCTGTTTCCTCACCCGACTGAGTTGCTTTGGAGACTGGGTCACATGATGCAAAAGGGCACCCTGAAAACCATCCAGGGCCTCCCAGATGGAAGTGCCAATCTGCTGCAAGGAATCATGAGGAGGGCAGGACCTAGCTAAGAATTCCTGCTTGTGGGGCCGCTCCATCCTTGACAGCCTGACTCCTAAACTCGGGACACTCAAAAGGGTGGTCTGCAGCTGCAGCCCAGCAGCACCTGTGTCCTGTGGGACTCCTGCCCAGACCCATCTGAATCTGCATTTTACAAGATGTGAATGGGTAATTCAGTTGCATATTGTTTTAGAAGCCCCATCCTGAGCTGACTTTCCTAACATGAAGACTAAACATTGTCACCCTCTCTCTTCTAGTCCAGAAAAAAGCTGATACGTAGGCTTTGAGCATTTAGAATTAAGAATGTAATGATGAGGGGCTGGGCAGCAGATGAAATCGAAGCCTTACCCCTTTTTGCTTATTTTATTACGTTTCCCCACCATTAGAATGTAAGCTCTAAGACGGCAAAGATTTTTGTCGGTTTACTGCTGTAACTCCAGATCTACTATGCAACTGCCACATAGTAGGTATTCAATAAATATTTAGTGAGTGATTAAGGTTTTAGATTAGACATGTAATCTGAAATACCATGTCTTAATTGAATCAGAGCATCTCTGTAATAGTATTATTAGAATGACAAGCATAAACAGAATTGTTTCTAGAAGGAGAGGGATAAATTTGAAGTAGCATATTTACTATGACATCTCCCATCTGCCTGTCTCAAACCTTGCTTTTTTGTCAAATTTTCTCTACAAACTCCTGCTTGATTTAGCCAGGTGCAAAAAGATTTGCTTAACGTTAGCAGCTGGATTTGCTACTAACGATCACTTCTCTGGGAAGCCTCGCAGCAGGAGCCTGATGGGAGCCTTAGACCAACTTCTGAAAGAGCCAGTACTGCGGCATCGTGAGTCAGTGTGGGGATTTTTCATGTTGACAGTAATTGAATCATAAAGCCTTTCCTCCTTGATTTGATGATGAGTGTCTCAGAGAATTCCTTTCCATCTAAGGGGGCTACACTTCTTTTCTCTCCTCCCTCTTTGTGCATATTTTAGGTGTTTGTTTGTTCCATCTCAGTGTTTGCTTTTAGTTCCTGTCTTTGCCTGAGGTTCAAGTCTTATTTCCCCTCAGGATGGGCTTTCTAGGGTTTTGGAACACTCTGCTATGTTCCGATTTTTCTCAGAACTAAGAATCCAAGGCTGAGCTTCACACGTGGTGGGGCTTTTTAAATCCTGTTCAAAGGAGCCTTGACCGGTTGCTCTGAGAGGTCCATTCTACCCACTTCCCAGCTCTGCAGCCTTCGGGTTGAGAGGGAGGTGCAGGTCAGTGTGGGCAGGGACCTCCATGTGCCACGTTTGGCCTGGCACCAGCACGGCCTGCATCCTGTTCTTCGCTCTTCCCTTCCCTGACTGCTCAGTGTGGCTCTGCATGGAGGACAGTGTTTTGCTCCTGGAGCCTTAGACCATGTTGGTGCATTTCTCCAGTACCAGGCCCATACTTCCTTAGAACAGTCATTCTCAAACTTGTTCACCAGAACAGCCTGAAGTCGCCTGCGAAAACGGATTGCTGGTCCCACTCCAGAGTTTCTCATTCACAAGATCTCGGGGAGGGCCTGAAAAACTGCATGTCTAACATCCCCACCTTGAGAACCACTGACTTGAGCATGAGGGCTGACACAGCCCTGCCCAAAGCCACCCCCCAGCTGCCACCAGAGGGCACATGCAACCTGAGCCAGAGGTCTTGTTTCACCTCCACAGCTACCCACCTGCCACCCAGCAGAGGTTCTTTCTGAAAGATTTCTTTCTATTTGTAATTCTTGTTATTATGTATTAGGAAGAAGAATCGTATATCTAAAAAATAGGTTGAGTTCTCAAAGTCTGTCTCTGATGAATAGTAAAGGTCAGATGGATCAGCCTTTTGAAGATGTTGAATGTCCTGACTTTTAAGAAATGGAACAGGCTGGGCACAGTGGCTCACGCCGGTAATCCCAGCACTCCGGGAGGCTGAGGTGGGAGAATCGCTTGAGCTCAAGAGTGCAAGACCAGCCTGGGCAACCTGGGGAAACCCATCTCTACTAAAATTACAAAAATTAGCTGGGGGTGGTAATGTGCCTATAGTCTCAGCTATCTGGGGGACTGAGGTGGGAGGATCATTTGAACCTGGGAGTTTGAGGCTGCAGTGAGCTGAGATCACACCACTGCATTCCAGTCTGGGTGACAAAGAGAGACCCTGTCTCAACAAAAAAAAAAAAAAAAAAAGGAAAAATGAGAAAAATGGAAGAAATTGTTCCCACTGGAGTTTCCAGGGCTTCCATCACACTGAAGTGGGGGACTTCCTTTCAGAACATCGTAGAATCTTTGTGTATTCGGAACCCAAAAGGCAGTAAAGATAACAGGTGATTTTCATCTTCTTCTTTATACTTTACTGTATATTCCAAATTATCTAAATTATCTAAAATAAATTTAATGTTACTTTTATAACAAAAAATGATTTTTAAAACACATTTTAAATGTGACTAAAAGCCAAAACAACAGTTCCAAAAAAATAAAACCCAAAGAGGAGCTCGGAGTGAGCAGCTTGGGGTTAGGAGAAAGGCCCCAGGTGGCACTTGTTCCCCCAGTTGGTCCTGCTGAGGTCTCTGCCTAGGTTTAGAGGTCTAGTGGGATCAAAGTTGGCCGAGTGCTCAAGAAAGCAATTTAGGACCGAGGAATAGATGGTTACCTGTGAGGACTCGGCCTGTCATCTGTGTAAGTCACGTGTTGCTGCAGTTTGTGGCCAGCTGTTTGGCTTCAGGCAGCCCCAACCCAGGCACAACACTTAAGTCACATTCAGTGCTGATGTTCTCACTGCCCAGGGATTCCCAGAGGCCAAGGGAGTGGGGGCAAGCCAGAAATATGAAAACGTAGACCACCCTTAGGTTCCTATTTAGTAGCTCCCAGACAGACTTTGTTTGATCTGCAGATAATTTAATACATTTGAGCTAACATTTAAAAATTGGGAGACTTCATATTATCCAGATTCTTTTTGTTTTCTGTTGAAAAATCTCAAGCTCTGGTATCTGAGGGCTGCTGGCATCCCTCTCCACACACTGCAGAGCTCAGGAGAAGTAGGGCAGCGGGGTCTCAACCCTGGCTGCTCATTGGAGTCGTCTGGGGAGCTCTTAAAAATGCCCATGGCCAGGGCCCACCCCGAGAGCGCCTGATTTAACTAGGCTGGGGAGGGACTTGGGCTTTGTTTGTTTGTTTGAATTCCCCAGAGGTTTCTAATGTGTGGTCAGGGTTGAGAAACTGGGAACTAAGAGTAGTAAGAGGAAAGCCTCCATCCTGCTGGGGCCTGGGACCTCAGAGGATGCGTGTGGGTGTTTGGGGGCTGGAGCTGGGGCTAGGACTTCAAATGCTTTTAGCTGGCCAAGTGGAGATGTGAACAAAGTTGGTGTCTGCTGTCTTCCTACCTCCCCTGTGGAGACCCTCATGTCTCTCCTTCCTTCTGGCCCCTGGGCTTTCTTCCAGGCCCTTGTCCTAGATTCCCCTTGTCAACCACATTTATCACACTGTTTGCAGGTATAAATTGTCAGCCCTCTCGTTTCCAAAAAGGAATTATGTTAGCATCACCCCAATTTGTGGTTACTGTGTGTTTTCTTGTAAGTTTTTTTTTTATTATTATTATTGTTATTGCAAGCCATAGAAGGTGACTGTGGCCAGTATAAGCCCAAAGGGGAACTGAATGAAAACGGATGGGGCATGCACATATGGGGCTGTCGAGAGGGCTGAAGAAGCCATATGGGAAAGACAGGAGCCAGCCAGCATGGGCAGTTCGGAGGCAGGAGCTGCTCAGCAGGGCCCAGGGCTGAGTGAGTCTGTGTCCCAGCTTCTCGAGTCGGAGTCTTGGGGGACAGTGGAAGATGGGCGCTATTGCTCTCAATTATCCACTCCATCCCTACAGCGAGGTTGATACATCCCTCTCTACTCAGCATCCAAGTTGGCCATATAACTTGCATTGGTCAATGGAATGTGAGTGGGCATCTCGTGTGCCAGGTCTGGGCAGCCTGAAATGCACCTGAGTGCTTTAGATTGGCCCCTTGCTTCTCTCTGCGGGAGAACAGCATCTCCCAGAGAGGGGCCACAGCTGGGTGAGAGGTGAGCTATGTCAAAGCCAACCGTCAGACCTGGGAGCAAGAAATATGTTACCGGTCTGTCACTGAGATTTGGGGGCTGTTTGTTACCAGAGCAAAACCTGATATAGACAAAGAGTCCAAGCCTGAGTTGTCTGTCCTCTCCCTGGCTGAACCCTGGGTTGGAGAGCGCTAACTGAGGGAAGGAGATTCAGGGCCCATTTGTGGTCTGAATGTTTGTGTACCCTTAAAATCTTTATGTTGAAACCCTCATCTCCAAAGTGATGGTATTAGGAGGTAGGCGTTCTGGAGGGTGATTAGGTCATGAGGATGGCAGTATAAAAGAGGCCCAGGAGAGCTGCCTTGCCCCTTCTACCATGTGAGCAGTGAGGAGGCACCCTCCCCAGACCTCAGATCTACCAGTGCCTTGATCTTGGACTTCCCAGCCTCCAGAACTGTGAGAAATCAATTTCAGTTGTTTAAAAGCCACCCAGTTTACGGTAGCAGCCTGAACAGACCAAGACAGGCTCCCTTGGCTTCATGGCAAGAGACAGAGCTGTGGCCCCTCGAGGCTGCACACAGAAACTGGTAGCTTTTTAAAACATTTAATTTAATTTGAAACAGAGTCTCGCTCTGTCACCCAGACTGGAGTGCAGTGGCATGATCTTGGCTCACTGCAACATCCACCTCCTGGTTTCAGATGATTCTCCTGCCTCAGCCTCCCGAGTAGCTGGAACTACAGGCACCTGCCACCATGCCCTGCTAATTTCTGTATTTTTAGTAGAGATGAGGTTTCACCATGTTAGCCAGGCTGGTCTTGAACTCCTGACCTCAGGTGATCCACCCGCCTTGGTCTCCCAGAGTGCTGGGATTACAGGTGTGAGCCACCGTGCCTGGCCAGAAACTGGTAGCTTTTACAAAAATGATACCAAAGTACCACGGGGCTGGAGGGGCCAAGAACTCCACAAATGTCCACCATACCAACAGTTCCAGTGACCAAAGCTCAAAGCAAAGCATTTTAGCCTTTCTGCCACCAAGGCCCTTTTTATTGTCTTCTTATTCCAGAAGCTCAATTTCTTAAGGATTTTGCCAACAAACAAAACTAACTATATGCATTAATTCATTACTAATATTGTGCTAGTCCAAGGTGTAACTGCTCATCGAACTTCTGATTGACACAGCCAGTGGAGCTGCAAAGAGAGTCAATCTTTCAGGTCACCTGTGCAGCCTCATTATGGCTTTTTGAAATACCAAAAGTAGCTCTAGGAGCATACATGACTGCCTTTCCAGGCCTCTATATATCTGGGCCCCCAGGTGGGAAGCGACAACTTAATTTGTTCCCTCTCCTGAGAGTACGTCATTCTAGTGGTCCAGCACTGGAAGCCAAGAGTGTCCTCAAGAGCCAAAGGAATTGGCCCAGCAGGGTACCTCAGGCATAGTGGCAGGCTTTGCAGCAGATCCTGTGGGTAAGGCTGCTCTGCAGACTGACTGGCCCTGAATTCCAATAAACTGAGTTCCTTGTGAGAGCAGAGGGGGTGTGATGTGACACCCCAGGATGCTTTCTTAGGTGGACAGAGCTTGGGCCAAATGCCTCCCATTCCTCATCTGTCAAGTGGAGATGATGACATCCCGAAGGTCCCAAGAAGTCAATGAATTGGGACTTGCCAGGCACTGGGCTGGTTAGTACTTCACCCACCACTTCATTAATTCTCCCTGGCTCTTTCAGGAGGAACAGACAAGGAGTGGGCTGGGGAGCTTCTTGCAAGGATGAAATGAGTGAATGCATGAAAATCTCTGTGTGTATAAAGTGGTATTTTGTGCATGTGTCTGTCTGCATGCACCCCCTCCCCCAGCTGACCACCCCTCATCCCAGGTGGCAGCGCTTGCCTTGTTTCTTTCCTGATGACTCCACATTCATGATCTCCAGCTTAGGTCTCTCACCTCCTGACATCTCCACTCACAGCACATGGCACCTCAGGTGCAGTGTGTTTAAACCCATTCCTCATTTCCCCTCATCCTCGTCTCATTTCATGTCAGCTCCATCCTTCCAGTTGCTCAGACTGTCCCTGGGTTCTCTTTGACTCTTCTCATTATCTCATACCCCCCATCTAACCTGTCAGCATATGGTCAGCTCTACCTACAAAATGTTTCCAGAACTTGCCCTGCCCTCACCTCCTCCACTGCTTCCATCATGGTCTGATGCACCATCCTCTCTCTTGCCTGGACTTCCTCAGGAGCCTCCTCACTGGTCTGGTTCAACAAAGCAGCCAGAGGAAGCTGCTGGAATACACGTCAGATCGTGTCACTTCTGCGCTCCAAGGCCTCCAGTGGTTCCACATCCAAAGGACAGAGTCCTGAGAATGTCCCGCCAGCCTGAACACAGTTCATTCTCCATCCGCCTCTCCAGCCTCCCTCCTCGCACTCTCCCTCGTGCCTCGTGCTGATTCTGTCAGGCGCGCTCCTGCCCCACTGCCTTTGCATTTGCTGCCCCCACCTTTGGATAAACATTTTACTTTAGAATAATTGTAGATTTACAGAGAATGTGAGAAGATACTACAGGGAGTTCCTACAAACCCCATGCCCGGTTTCTCTGATTCCTACCATCTTGCATTAAAGGTATATTTGGTACAACACGTGAACCTATACTGATATATTGTTAGGAACTAGAGTCCATACGTAATCTGGATTTCCTTAGTTTGTACCTAATGGCCTTCTGCTCCAGGACCCCATCCAGGATGCCATATTCCATTTAATTGTCATGTTTTCTTAGGCTCCTGTTAGCTGTGACAGTTCTGTTCCCTCTTTTTAGAGTGCCTCATTCACTCATGCTTTATGATCGGCACTCAAATGTTACCATCGCAACTCATCAGACAGTCGCTACCCCTCTTCTCTGCTTTAGTCCTCTCAGTATTTGGCACTATCATATTTTTATTTTATTTGTATTATTTATCACCATCTATTGTATTTTTAATTTTTCTCTTTTTTTTCTTTTTTTTTTTTTTTGAGGCAGAGTCACTCTGTCACCCAGGCTGGAGTGCAGTGGTGCAAGCTCAGCTCACTGCAACCTCCGCCTCCCCGGTTGAAGCAATTCTTCTGTCTCAGCCTCCTGAAAATAGCTGGGATTATAGGCGCATGCCACCATGTCTGGCTAATTTTTTTTTTTTTTTTTTGGATTTTTAGTAGAGACGGGGTTTCGCCATGTTGGCCAGGCTGGTCCGGAACTCCTGACCTCAGGTGATCTAGCCACCTCGGCCTCCCAAAGTGCTGGGATTACAGACATAAGCTACCACTCTCGCCTATTTTTACTTTCTTATCTTATGGTTTGTTTGTCTCCCCTGACAGAAATGTCAGCTTCACGAGAGCAGGGGGTTTTATCTCTTTTCACTGCTCTATCCCTGGCACCTGGAATCATGCCTGGCACATAGTAGGTGCTCAATAAATGTTTGTTAAATGAGGGAAAGAGCACTAGAATCTGCCTTGCAGCCTCCGGATCCTCTTTCCGTCGTAGTCTGCACTCCTGCCTCCTTCCTCCTCAGAGCCTGCCCAGTCCTGAAGCCACCAATAAGAGAAAAGCTTTCAAAGCACCTCCCTTGTGACAGGCCCCACGTGCCCTTCTTCTCATTACTCCCACAGCAATCCTGGGGGGTTGGGAGAGTTACCTTGACCTCGCATGTGAGGAAACTGAGGCTCAGAGAGGCAGGGAAACTTACCCAGGGTCACACAGGCAGGAAGTGGAGAAGCTGGGACTTAAACTCAGGCTGGTGTTTAATCACAAGATTGTCCAGGGCCTGGGTGCTTTAATCACAAGATTGTCCTACAAACTCCCAAGACTGGGTGAGGGTGTCTAGGAGGTCAGGCCCCCCTGGATGTCACCCCTCCCAATGTGCTACATTATCCTGTGGGCAGGAAACACTGAGGCTCTGAGGTGGGGGCTGAAAGGGCTACAAGAAAGAGGTCACTCTGGGGAGTCCCCAGTGCTACCCTTGAGTAGCCTCTTCCCCCCACTCTACTCCAGTTTTTGCTCTTGATGTTGACGAAGCAGCTGCCCCATTCTGTTAGAATGCTGTCTCCACAGCTGCTCACACCTGCCTTCCCAGCTGCCCAGCAAGATATATGAACCTGAGTGACCACCTGCAGCTGCCGTGACCAACACCCACCACCCACTCTGAGAGGCCTCACCCTCCAAGGCATGGACCAGGGCCTTATGTGGCTAACACTCAGCCTGCCTGTAAGGCAAGGGTCTCTGTCCAGCTCTGTCCCCATGGCCTGGAAGCTCTCTGGAGGAGACCCTGAATCCCAACCTTTCCCTGCCACTTCCACCTTCTCTTCTGTACCCTAAGCTGAGACGGAAATGAGCTACTGAACTGGACTTGAGTCTCCTTCAGTTGCTCCCTCCCTCCCCCATCTCAGATGTCTCTCAACCTCAGTTCCCTCATCTGCATCATGAGCATAATAATGATAACCTAGAATTATGGGAACTAGAGTTAATATATGTCTGGCACATAGTAGGTACATAACGAATGCCAATTATTATTATTATCATTGGTATTAGTTTCCTCAGCTGTGAAATAGCAATTCATTTATTCATTCAACCAACTGCTAGTTATCACCCATGTGCCAGCCATTGTGGTTAAGACCTAGAACAGTAGCAGATGAATGAGCCATGGTCTCTATTTGGAAGGACTAACCTTCTGGTGTGGCAGACAGTCAAGTTAAAACCCTGGTCGGGTACGGTGGCTCATGCCTGTAATCCTAGCACTTTGGGAGGCCAAGGCAGGCGGATCTCTTGAGATCAGGAGTTCGAGATCAACCTGGCCAACATGATAAAACCCCATCTCTACTAAAAATACAAAAATTAGCCAGGCGTGGTGGCGTGTACCAATAGTCTTAGCTTCTTGGGAGGCTGAGGCACAAGAATCACTTGAACATGGAGGCGGAGGTTGCAATGAGCCAAGAGCCAAGATAACCCACTGCGCTACAGCCTGGGTGACAGAGCAAGATTCTGTATGTTTTTTAAAAAAGGGTTAAAACACAGTGGGAGGAAAGCCACGATATATGTAAAGTCGGCCGTGCAGATGTTATGCAGGCTGGGGGTGGTGGGCAGCTATCTCCAGGATTGGGCTAATTGAGGGGAAGGATGGGAGCTGACTCTGTGTCCCTTGCTCTTTCCAGCATGTCAAGTTGACATAAAAACTTTTGGAGTGGGCTTCACTGGCTGTTGACCAGGACCATACAGACAGATCCCCAGAAAGCCCATGTTTAGGGTAGGTAGATAAAAGTTAAGGGTCAGGGAGGAATGAACCAAACCGTCTCGCAGGCATTTTCCCCTAAAATGTTACCTTAGTTTTTAAAAATCAAGTGAAATAATGTATAAATCTAATTCTTTAAAGACTTTTATCTTTTTGAAAAATGAGTGAAATTTAATAGAGGTTAATCTGATGTGAGTAGCCACATTACACCGCCACCTGGTGGCAGCATACTAAAGTCACAGGTTTGTTTTCCTTTGAGACTAAGGTTGCACGGCAAGCTCTGTCGTTTTTGGACTGAGCAGAGATACCAAAGCCATTTTCCCCTTTCCCCTTCTCCCCAACCCTCTGCTAAAACCCACTTCCATGGTTGAAGCTCCCAAGCTTCCAGCCTTTTTGTCTGAGCCACATCTGCTCCAGTTTCCAGCAGAGAAAGCAACCAGGTTTTCCTCCCCATCTCCTGCCTCAGGCCCATTCTGCCCGCCATCAGTGCTAACACCTCCCCAAGCCCTCGGCCCAGGCCCCAGGGGGAATGTGGATCTAGGGAGAGAACCTTGCCCAGTGATGTGGGTTTGAATCTCCAGCTGACCACTTACTGGCTGTGGTCTCTCTACCTCCATAATGCCTCTCTGAGCTTCACTTTCCCCATCTGAAAAAAAGGAGATGCTGTCTAGATTTTTTTTTAGACGAGTTTCGCTCTTGTCAGGCTGGAGTGCAATGGCGCAAACTCGGCTCACTGCAACCTCCGCCTCCAGAGTTCAAGTGATTCTCCTGCCTCAGCCTCCTAAGTAGCTGGAACTACAGGTACATACCACCACACCTGGCTAATTTATTTATTTTTTTAGAGATAGGGTCTCACTGTGTTGCCCAGGCAGGTCTCGAACTCTTGGGCCCAAGAGGTCCTCCTACCTCAGCCTCCCAAAATGCTGGGATTACAGGCATGAGCCACTGCACCTGGCCCTAACTGAGATTTCTTGTTGTTTCTGCTGCATATCCTTCTACTATTCTTTCTATAAGAGCTGGAGTGGGAGGAGACCAAGAAACGCTGGAGAGGAGAGGAATGGAGAAGCAGAATGCCTCTTCACTGCACTTCCACCCTTTGCCAGAAATGTCTACGGCCTGTCCCACAGGACCTCCCTCTCAGGTTCCTCTCCCCATCCCAGTCTCCCCAGTTCCCTCTGCCAAAGTTTCTCTGAGCCTGGTCCCCAACACCCTGGGTGACCTGAGAACCCACTTCGCACTGAAGGGACAGTGACTGAACAAAGGCCCACTGCCTCCACCCAACCTGGCCTCCACACTCCATCCTCAGCTTGGGGCATTTGACTGTGTTCCGGGCATGATGGAAGGGCAGAAGTTTTGGAGCTGGGCTTCCCCAAACTTGGCAATCACCAGAGTGCTGTCCTAAAGCTTAGGAAATCAGCTTTCCGCCCAATGCTGGTGCTGTCTGGATCTTGTGTGGCCTTGGTCAAGTCACATACTCCCCGGTGAGCCTTGAATTCCCTATCCCAATATAGCCGGGCTCTGACAGCGGGGGTGCTGTGCCTGCTGAAGGACTGGGCAGGGTTGATGGATCCTCCTCCCCACCCACTTCCTCCTCGGAAAACCTCAGGATCCTGCTCAGAGGAGGAGGCAGTGCTCCCCCTGGGGAAGTGGACCCTGGGGACTCCGTAATCCTCCCCCACACTCACTGTGGGCAGCCGGCACTAAGTGCTGTATTAATTATTACCAGCCTGCCCTGGGAAGCAAATTCAAAGTGAGGTCACCATGGTAACCCAGACACTGCAATGTGACCAAATTTTTAAAGTGCTCAACATGTTCCAGGAAAATTACCTATTGGTGGAAGAGAAAAGAACGAGGCTTCAGTCCCACAGCTCAGTGGCCTTAGGAAGAAAAGCCCAGAAGCTCCCACAGGGCCTAGAATCTTTCTGCAAAGGACTGAGGGGGGACAGGGATGGGAGATCAGAGCCTGCGCCTTGAGAGAGCAGAGCAGAGATGGAAATGACATTCAGTATCCTGAATGATCTCTTACGGGTAGCCATGAGGCCTGGCCAGAGAGCCAGAAGACCTGGGTCCTAGGACCAGCTCTGGCACCATTGGGCTCTGCAGCCCCAGGCCTGTCCCTTGCCCTCTCTAAGCCTCCAGTAAAGCCTTACCCAGAAGTATTTCTTACAGAGCCAGAGAGATGAACTGTAGTGAGCTATTAACCTCATATATGAGGGTACAGGGGTGGTAAGTGGAAAGTGAAAGTGAGGGGTCTTTGCTAATCAGGCTTCTAACACAGAGACCTGGATTCAAATCCCACTTCTGCCCTCCAGCAGCTGTGACCTTGGGTCAGAGAATTCACCCCTCTGAGTTGGCTTCCGTACCTGTAAGAGGGGGGCTAATCATAGTCCTACCGCCTCAGGGTGGTTATGAAGTTTAAATCAGATAACCCACAAAACACACTTGGCACAGCACCCTGGATACAGTAGGGTCCCCTGTCATCATCTCTGCTGCCAATTAATAAGTGTGCCAGCCGGGCACAGTAGCTCACACCTGTAATCCCAGCACTTTGGGAGGCTGAGGCAGGCAGATCACAACGTCAGGAGTTCCAGATCAGCCTGGCCAAAATGGTGAAACCCTACCTCTACTAAAAATACAAAAAACAATTAGCAGGGTGTGGTGGCATGCGCCTGTAATCCCAAGCATGTGCCTCCTTAGCTACTCAGGAGGCTGAGGCAGGGGA